TAATCCCCCCCCCCCCCCACCCATCTTGAATGACATACTGCACACGAGCATTGTGCACAGGCGTCTATGGTTTACAGTCCTTATCAGAGAAACTTGTCCCACCAACAGAACAGGCAAGCACTCCGAAACTAGCTTAGCATTTTGACCCACCAACAATTGTTTAACAAAAATATTAAGCAACAATTGTTTAACAAAAATATTAAGCAAGTATTCACCACCAAGTACATACCTTTGTATAACTTTGGTTTTTTTGATGTTGATGCTTCTCCATTACCTATTGAGGAAACAGAAATTGAATTTGCACATTAGCAAAATAAATACAGTAGAGCATAAATTAGTACAAAACAATACATTTTTTCCAATTTGGAGAATAACTTAGCTTAGAAAGTCAGAAACCAGTAACAGCACTTGTAAGGATAATCCTTATAGAAAATGTAGTCAAGTCAGAATTTTTTTTTTAATTATCACTCAAACTGACTGTTGCAGAACTGCAACTACAATTGAAAACATAGTACATATTTCTAGATTTACAACAATAATTTTAATGTTTGGATTTCAAATGAATTAAAAGCACAAGACATAACTTTCTACAGAGAATTCTACAGAGTAAGCATAGCCTATTAATGTTTTAGTACTTGGTACTTGATAACTGCCATCCAATGTTAAGGGTATGGATGTAGTTATGGTGGGTGGAAGTGGGCTGATCCAACCTGCCTTAAAGTTTTTCACCCAGTCTAAAGCTAATTTCATGGCCTTCCACCCACCCTTATTACCCGACTTTTCCATCCTTAAAATCCACTCTTATTATTTAAAGTTTACCAATGTTATCACCCAGCCACACTTAAAATGTCTATCACCTACCCTTAGTTTTCTAAAGCTACAACCCTGTAAGGTACAACAACAATTTCTCAACACTGTTTGCATTGCACCAGTGTAAAATTCCTAAGCGATGGGAATTAACCACTCAACCCTATTTATTGTCACGGTGCACCAGGTCTATTAACATTTCTTTGCATTCTTAGTTATTAGTTAAAAACTAATTTTAGAGTTAACGGTTAAGAAACCTTTAAAAGCATTACACTGTATTCTATACCATATTTCCATATTGTTATTTTTTGTTATACTCCAGAGGTTTGGTATTCTAGCAACACCACTGAACTATAGTAATTTGGTTTATTCCATTTACATGAAATTAAATCAGGCAAAAATAATTTCACCATGATTACCTTGCTTAACACTTGGCCTATCTAAAATTGGCCTTGCTGATACTTCTGATCTAACTTCATCACCTATATACAGAAATTGATAATCGTTTCAGATTTTCTATAAAATTACATCAAAATTGTTCGTTGCATTGCCCAAAACCACAAACATATGTGGCAAAGACAAGCCAAACCAGTCACTCATCGCAAAAATCGATTTTGAGTTATTAATACAGGGTTAAAGAGTAAAATAAGAGCTATAAAATGGTAAAAAAAATTGTTCAAATCCGACATTTCCTTCTGAAGTTACAAGCATTTAAGCATACAGCTGTTTGAAGAACAATATATAAGAAATCAGCCTTCAAAGTTTATGATTTCAGGCATTTCTCATGCAGAAACTATCATAAAATCATTAAAAAGTGTTGTTTTAACATTGAAATTGGAAAAAATAACAGCACAGCATGATGTATAGATACATAAAGTTAAAACCTTAGTTTAGTGAAATAAAATAGATTTAAAAAAATTTTACATTCTAGCATGTTTTTGCTATTTTCTCCGAAACACAATTTGCGACGAGTGACTGGTTTGACTTGTCTTTGCCACATATAGAACAATTAAAAGAACCAATTACGAATATGAAGTAAATTATTAAAAGTAATTACACAAAATAACAATTTTAAGAGTTTTGCTATAGTACTGTTAGTTATAGTACTTGCAGGTAAAACACAAGAGGCAAAAACCAAATTTTAAAATTAGTCTTGTGTAGTGTATATAAGACCGTGTAAAATAAAAAATTGGTAAACCTCTCCTTTAACAAACATAGCTCTGTACCTCTAAGTTCCAGTAAAGCTTTCAGAGCTTTTTCATTTGGTAATCCTTCAATGAAATCATCAATTTTTTCTTCACAAAGCTCATTCCTTTGCTCTAGATCCAGAATCAAATGCCAGCTATCTTTATAATTCTTTAACACTGGCATGTTATATCGTACATCAAGCGCTACTATATCATCATCAGTTAGTGTCATTCCTAGCTTCAAGAGGAACTGTCTGTACCATGAGAATTTAGACACTTCATGTTCCTTGATTGTTTGTAAAGTTGGAAGTACAATTCTGGATTTGAAGCCAAATTGTCCAGTAACTTTTATTGTGTCATAAAGGATAGCAAGATCTGTTAGACTCAAACTCTCAGAACCAATTAACATACTTAGCAAGGGCATCACCTTAGTAGCCTCATTTAACTTATTATAAATTGGCACGTGATCTCTATTGTTGTACAAAACTTTCAGCATATTGATGTACCCAAGTCCATCATACCAACTTGAAAAATCCACCAACAGCTTGCTGAAATCTCTTTTTGAAAGTCCTATGATACAAGCGAAAATAAATTGACTATGATCAATAATAGAAATATACAATTCAGGAAAATTTTAATCTAAAATGAAAAATGTGTATTTGATAAACATCATCATTAATCATCCATTATAATCATTAAAATCATCATTATAGAAGTGAAAAATAGACAGCAAAGAAGATAAAAACTAAATTGAAGATTAAACAATGGAATTAATCAATACATGTTTAGAATCCTGAACAAATTCTAATTTATTTTAAAATAATTGCAATAAAGATTTTTTATGGAAGAAAGTGTATAACAAGCCAAAAAGTCTATTGCAGTATAAACTGAATGTGTATAATTCAATTGGTTTAGATGAAGTACACCAACATTGAATAAAGCTGAAAATATCCAGGTTTTGTTAGTTTAATTAATTAGTCATTTTCAAGTACCCTACCGTAATCATGGGCGATTTTCCTACATTTGTGTTGTTTTATATCATTAAATAATGTTAATTTGGGAAGATAAAATAGACAGGACAGTCACTTTAACTATATACACTTTGAAATTCACTGTAAATATTTATTTACTTTACCTTCCAAGAGGCAAGGTAGGATTTGCATGTACAGTACATACAGGTAAGATTATTACCAATGATCAGGGCAACGTGAAGTCCTTTGAAATAGTTACACACAACAATGCCAGCAACAATTACTTTATAAACAGTATTTTACCTGTTTCCTCCATTCTTCCTTTGTGATCTACTTCTCACAGCAATTTATACAATAATTCACTCAAACTTTTGGGATGCACAAGCTTTCACACTAAAACAGATTCAATAGAAATGAAGATGTTCTTAATATTCTTTATATAACTATATTACCATCATTTTAATAAAATATTTAAATATTTACCGTGTTTCACCAATGTTTTTACTTTTTAGTCAAAGCAGTTTATTTAAAAACCCCAGAGTGAAATACTAATATATTTAAAGATGTACTATCAGTCAAAAGAATAATTAATAATAAATCAAAAATTCAAATAATCTGTTTTGTTTTCACCAATTTAGATATTTTACAAGAAAATGCTTATACTGTACTGATTACCGGATATCATGTGACACCATTTCATTTACTAAATTTCATTATTACAACTCGTGTATTAAAACCACTGATTCTTTCATGGAAGTCCCAACATCTGTTTTAAAAAGTCAAAATACTGAAAGTTCTTTGAAGGCAGTAGATTAATATCCAATATTTTTTTTTAAATATCTGAATATTTAGAATATCTATAACATAAACAAATTACAAACCAGCTAAAGTGGGCTGCATGGTCAATTCTCGATTACTACTCAGTTGCCCCTTACATTGGCAGGAGCATTACAATCTTAAAAATTCTACTTACCAGGTAAGTTTTTTTAATACCAAAATGGTCCCCCCCCCCCCAACACTCTTGATGTCAGTTGCCTTTCTCTTCAGCTCTTAGATGAATTGTATCGTCACATCTTGACTCACTTTTTGTGTTACTGGTAAGGTTTATTCCTGTAAAGTCATAAATATTTTATTTATCATCTTTTCTTTCTTGGCTAACAAAATCAATAAGCAATGAAATTAAATCGTAAATAATTTTAACATATATGATTTTATATCAGTTTACTTTCCTTTGACCTAATTTTATTATAGTGTCTTGAATTTTATTTGACTAGCAACCCCTACTTGACTTACTCTTACTTGTACGATGGGAAAAGAATACTTTATTTACCTCATTATTTTCATTCAATCAATGTTGATTGAAATAGATGTAATACAATGCAAGTTAATCCAAATATCATAGGCTAAAAAAGCAGTCTACAGTTACCAAACATGCTTACAATATATTTTCTGTGATAAATTATATTATGGAACGTCTTAAAGAAATTATCCTATTTTATTACAGTATCGAATGTACTCAATCATTGCATTTTTTCTGTATTAATACAGTACTTTTATGGGTTTCACTAGTCCACCACAAATGTACTGTACCTACTGCCTATTGTATATGTCTACCTTTTGAATACAGTCCCCATACAACAGATTTAATGTCTGTTTTCTGGTGCATGTAACTTTATCTAAAAAATAAGCTCACAGTAGGAGCGTGTGTCTGGGCCCTATACTGCCTTCTCCTGCATTATGTTTACTAATATAATAAAGTAACCACATGGGAATTCAGTTATCAGGAAATGTGTGGTGTTGTGTTTTTTTTCTTCTTTTTGTATGACTTTGGTACAGTCAAAGTACACTAATAAGGTATTTAAGATGACATATGACCCATCATGCACAGTATACAGTATGTAAAAAAATGTTGTCTTTGTTTACGCCACTATTAAGCTTATTATTAGGCAAAATAAAAAAATATAGTTGTTTAGCTACACCGCCAACCCCTAATTTTCTTGCCTCCTCTCTTTTTTTAATTGTTGAAAATCAACTAAAAAATTACGATAATTAGCAGAAAAAACCCTTTTTTCATCTTGAGCTCAGTGAACAAGCTGTGAAGTGTACCACCAACATTATAAGCATGCTCTTATTATTTTGCAGCAGCAGCCCAGAATACGGTCGACAGAGTGGCTATATTTTAACATAATTATACATGTTCCAAACGGCACCCCGTACAGAATGATTCTGTACTGAAGTCGGGGACAATGTGATCAGTAGTAGCCTAGTATTAGGTTTGATGAAGCAAAGAAATCTAGGCTTAGGCTCTTACTGTACAATACTTTGAACTTAAAGGGTAACAAGAAAAGAAAATGGTTGCTCATGCTAGTCAACTCAAACCACTCTAAATCAGGCTGGTTTGGTTTAAAGGGGGGACCCATATGAACCAGTGGCGGCGTCAGCAGGGATGGTTGGGGGGGGGGGGTTAAGGTTATAATATCTAATGACACTCACTGACCCATAGTTCTGGTACTGACACACTACTACATGCATTATGTTATCTTTTACTTGTATGATTGAAAATTGATTACTTTTACAGTACTGAAAAAAACACAATGTATGTTTTTGCACTAGTTGCCTTCTATCCCAAGAATGGAATATAACATGAGTTACATTTGAATAATGCCTTAATTAGCATAATTAGCATTATTGGTACTGGGAAAGGTCACATAATTGTATTAGGCGGGCTCTGATGAGACTACCCGCCGCCTGAGTACAATGTGAGAGCCATGTTGGTTGAATAAATGTACAGTAGGCAAGCTTAATGCTTGGTTGGGTTTGTACACAAGGCTGTTCAGATGCTTGAGCTATTCACCATTGTTCAATTTCCTCCATTTTCGTAAAGGAGGTGGATACATTTATGTCATTGTAAATCAAGGGTGGGCATAAAAATCGGTCAGAGGGTCAAAGTGATTTCTGATTTAAAATCAAGGACCGCACCCAAACTTTTATCTTTCCAGTGCGCTTCCAAAAACCTCCAAGCACTGCTTTTACACCACTTTATTCCAAGTTTTAATATTACTTTACATATTATCAGTGTCGGGCCGTAAAAAACAAGGTATTTTTTAGCCAATGTTGCTTGGTGAGCCGCACACATAGGGTTTTTAATTCATATTCGAGGGCCTAAAAAAAAAGCTCTCGGGCTGCATGAGGCCCGCAGGCCGAACTTTGTCCACCTGTGCTGTAAACAAATCAGTAAACGATACATTTATGTAAAATAAACAATGCATGCACAATCATACTGTTAATAAACTTACAATATCGGTCATGTAAATTTATCAATTCTGGTTATGTACATTAATGTGAGTTCATCTTTCAGCACTCAAAATTAGTGTTGGCCTAAGCCACGGTGCCAAAGCTTACCATGGCATTGATATGTTGAGGCCCTCTGGCAAGTTCAATTTATGAATGTACTGTACCATGATTCCACGATGTACGGAAATCAAATCTTCCCCAAATGTGTAAGTGTTTATAGTCATGTTAAATTTGACCAAACACATTTTTGCAAAAACAAAGGAGTCATTTGAATCGACGACAAATCAACGCACATGGGTAATTCCCGAATTGGTTGAATGAATTTTTTGTAAACATATAACAGCAGGGAGGTTGACGTTCGTACAGTAAATAGGTATTTCATTATAATTTTACCGTTGGTAATTAAACTTGTACAGTAGTATGCAGGGCTGGAGAAAGTGCGTGACCGACGGTTGGAGGCACTGACCATTACGCTGGAAGCATTTTAGAAAAAAAAATTTTTTTTTTTGGTTACACATCACAATTTACCGTAATACATACCGGTAATTAAATTTGATATTTATGCTTGCTACAAATCAGTATGTACTACTGTTTTGCTATAATAGTGCAAAGATAACATTTTGTGTTGGAGGCATTTGATCAAGATAATTTTCATGGTTGGAAGCACAAAATATTTTTTCCAGGCCTGGTAGTATGTACTTCCATCATGAAATAGATTATTGAATCAATGCTATGGAGAAATATGGGCAGTATGTTTTGTAATAGTGAATTAAGTTCTATCAACTGTATTCCTATGACAAAATGTAATTCCGTTACCAAATGTAATTCCGTTACAAGGTTTTCTACAAAACTAGCGAAGATCAAAGAAAACTGTTGAGTGATAATGGTAAAGGTGTATGACTAGTAAGAGAATATAAAGTAACTTGAGTTTATGGACAAAAAACATTTATCACTTTTTTGGTAACAAAATTACGGTGTGATATTACCCAATATCTGCTAACTTGCTGTGAAAATTGTAAGATGCCATGTCAAGAGTCTATCTCAACATTTGAGTTCTAGGGACCATTAAGTCAAATATTCAGAAAAATTGAAGTCAGGAAGGGTTGAGTTGAAGCATAATTGGGGATTATTTTAAAAATTAGCTATTTAAAAAAAAATTCTGAATCATATGCTCGAATAGACCAGTGGTTTTTGAAGAATATGAATTAATAAGACTAAAATTTCACTTGAACCTAATTCCACATATTATGAAACCCAAGTTTAGATTAAAGGCATTCAATTTTTGGTGGTTTTGGCCATCTAATGAAGAATTGCCTATGTATTTCCATCATGAATAGATTATTGAATCATTGTCACAATGATTGTGATGAGCTAGAAATAAGCATTGAATTCTATTAACTCTACTCAACGTCATGACCACAACGTCTGTATGAACGAGCGATGATGTTTATTCCATTCTCTCTGCATCCATACTTCTTAGACACATGCACAGCATGGTAGGTAGTTGTTTCCAATTAACTGCCAATGTTGTTTTTCTTAGTGACGACATGGTAAATGTGTTTGAATAAAACATTAAAAATATTTGTTTCGTCTTGCTTTATTTATTTGTAATGTTTAAAATACCTGACAGGAAATACATGCTTAATTGTTGTTTACTCCTTGCTTCACATCACAGCATATTTGTAGGTTGGATCACATGCTCTCTAAATGTGGTCTTTCTCGATGTTCTTCGCACTCGACCAGACTAAAAACTATGATGTTTTTTTTAGTGTGTAAATGTGTTTTCAATGAAAATTAGCAGGGAACCTCCATGTTTTGGCATAGGCCTAATTGTACGTTGTCAAAAGTGTGTTCATTCAACAAATGACACGAGTAAAATGAAAAGAACACAAATATATCCAGCTGATAATATCACTTTTATTTGAAAAGTTAACAGAATGATTTAATAATTTATTTAATGATTTAACTACATACTAGAAAAAACAAATATTTAAATCAGTGCCGTGGTGAGCTTGGGCTTCACAGTTTGGGCTAATTTTGAGTGCTGAAATTTGAACTCGCATTTTAACATACATTTAACCGGAATTGATAAATTTATGTGAGCAAATGCAAGTTTATTAAAGTATGACTGTGCATGCATTTTTCATTTCACGTAAATATATCGTTTACTGATTTGTTTACAATGACGTAAATCCACCTTCTTTTTGAAAACAGAGTGGCTATGACACACAGATGTAGTAGGCCTACACTGTAGTGCATAGACTGGGTTCCAGTCCCTAATCTTTGTCTTAATCAGTTGAAAGGCTTAAGAATAAATCGATTTTGGCACAAATGGCGTTCCATATTACTTATTTGCATGGCGTTCCATAGTATACTTTTTCTGGGATTAGGGACTGGGAAAACAGTGAGGATTTCGAGTGCAGGCACCACGATTTCGTGGTGTCTGACATATTTAACAACTTTGATTTCCGATTGGCTAATTACCGTCGCATAAATTAAATATGCTAATTATGC